GGAAGTCTCATTCCAAATTTGGGAGACAAAGGACTAGAAACAGTATAAATAAAGGGAGTTTCCTCCATATTGGGGGGCCCAGAATTTGAAAGACACATTTTTCTCTGGGCCTCCACAGAATTTAATAATAAAATGTAACTCTTGCAGTCAGCGCTGCAGTTCAGCCTCTGCTCCGGCAGGGTGCTGTAACTGTAGTCGCTGGCCATGGAAGTTGGCACTGCAGTTCAGCCTTTGCTTTGGCAGGGTGCTGTAGCTGTAGTCAGCTGGCCAGCTTAATAAAGGCTCTTAAATTTAAATTCTGAGACGGTGGTCTATCTCGCTGAGTAAACCCAAAACAGCCCCAGACCTCTTTCTCTGAAGGGTAAAGTCAAATGTGCACTGACAGGGAGCTGTGGAAAATGACCAGGAACTGGACGCCCCAGGCCAGTGCTTTCCTGGGCACGTGTCTGTGCATGTGAAAGTTTGTGTTTGCATGTGTGTGTGTTGTCAGAAGCTTCAGGAGTTTCCAAGGAACAAAAATACAGAGTAAAGGTAAACTCAAAGGGGCAACAGGGTTGGAAAAAATGAGGGGAATGTCCAGGGCCCTGACCCTGCCTTGGCCCACATGACCAGGGAGGTTATCTTGTCCCAGCAGAAGGCTCAGCAAACAGGGAGGAGGGAGAGCACATCCCATCAGTCTGGACAGAGGTGTCTGGGAGCCTTACTGGACCTAGCACTCTTCTCTCAGAGAAAGGGACGGAGAAGGCAGCAGTCCACATGGAGTTCCCTGCAGCTTCTGCCCTCAGAGGACGTGTCCCCTGGCTGGGGCTCCTGCTGGCTGGTAAGGAGGGGATAAATCCTGGGGGTGGACAGGAAAAGGGGAAACAGAGACTGGCTCAGGGTCTCCTGGGGAGCACAGCGCTCTGAGAGGGGACAGAGGGCTTCTGTTTGGACCTGAGGGGAGAGGACAGGGGAGCAGAGTGGGGTGGGGTAGGGGGCTCCGCAGCAGGACAATCCTGGAGGTGGTGAGGGGCAGAAAAACCTCGATTATGGTAAGTTTTACAAATTATTCATCACTGAAATACTTTCTGAAAACGATTATAATAATAACAATTTGTGTCAGGGTGACACAAGAAAAAATGAACTAGGGGCACTAAGCATTGTCTTTACCACCAACCTCAGAACTGGGCACGTATACCCCAGGGGATGCAGGACCCTAGAAGCACTTATTCATTCACCCACAGGTATTTGCAGCCTGTTGTAGGCACTGGGGTGCAACAAGGTCAGACAAGCCCCTTCCCCCACGGAGCTCATGTTCTATGGGGAGGAGGCAGACAAGGGAACATCTACATGTGATGTCAGGTACCTACAGGTGCCATGAAGAAAACAGAGCGGGGACAGGTCAGAAAGTGAAAACAGCATCTTTAAAGGGTCAGTGAAGGCTACTCCCAGGGATGCCCCTGAGTGTCAGCAGAGGTCTGAGGACAGTGAGGAGGAGAGCTGGGCAGATGGGCAGACAACTGGGAAAGTTCTCAAAACAGAAAAAATAACAGGTTCAGAGGCGCTGAAGTGTTGGTGGCCATGCTGCTGACCTTGACCACAGGAGACACACACACACACACATACTCAGACCAAGGCTGAGAGATGAAGAGACCTGCTCAGGACCCAAAGCCTCATCTCCCCATTCCAATACATAGCTCCAAATCTTGATCAATTTCTCTCTTCCTTCCCTCCTAGCCTCACTCTTAACCTTCTGGAGCCTGCCCACCACTGCCCAGCTCACTATTGAATCAGTGCCGCCCAATGCTGCCGAAGGGAAGGATGTGCTTCTCCGTGTCCACAACCTGCCTGGGAATCTATTCGGCTTTGCCTGGTACAAAGGGGAAATAGTGGACACCAGCCGTCAAATCATATCATATGTAATAGACACTCAAACAAATACCTCTGGGCCTGCATACAGTGGTAGAGAGACAATATATCCCAATGGATCCCTCCTGTTCCAGAACCTCACCCTGAAGGACACAGGATACTACACCCTTAAAACCACAGGGAAAGATTTACAGGAGAAACAAGAAACTGGACAGCTCCGTGTATACCGTGAGTGATTTCTCTCTGACCTCTGGGTTCGGGTGGGTGAACTCCACTTCACACACAGGACTGACAGCCCGGGACTCTGCCTCCATCCCCCTCTGCATAACGTCCCAGGTTGGGTTTGGGCATTTAGTGCAGGACACACACAGTGGAGACAAACTTCTAAGATCAGAGTTCCCTTCCTGGACAAAAGGAAATTCACTGAAGGGGGTGTGGGGGGGGGGGGGTAGAGAATCACTGAGGAAACAGCTGTCTCATCAATTCCCAGGATCTGACATTTAGATGGAAGGTAACCAGGAAGGTGGGAGAGGGGAGGAGGAAAGGAGGGGAGGACATAGGAGGGACCTGAGCACAAACCCCGCCCCCTGCCCATGTGACCAGGAAAGTGATCTGGTCCCTGGAGGAGGCTCAGCAGGTCCCACCAGTAGGGAGAGCAGTGCCTGTGAGGCTTCTGGACCTCAAGCTCTTCTCACAGAGGGAGGGACGGAACAGACAGCAGACACCATGGAGTCCCCCTCAGCCCCTGCGCACAGAGGGTGCGTCCCCCGGCAGTGGCTCCTGCTGGCTGGTAAGGAGGGGATAAATCCTGGGGGTGGACAGGAAAAGGGGAAACAGAGACTGGCTCAGGGTCTCCTGGGGAGCACAGCGCTCTGAGAGGGGACAGAGGGCTTCTGTTTGGACCTGAGGGGAGAGGACAGGGGAGCAGAGTGGGGTGGGGTAGGGGGCTCCGCAGCAGGACAATCCTGGAGGTGGTGAGGGGCAGAAAAACCTCGATTATGGTAAGTTTTACAAATTATTCATCACTGAAATACTTTCTGAAAACGATTATAATAATAACAATTTGTGTCAGGGTGACACAAGAAAAAATGAACTAGGGGCACTAAGCATTGTCTTTACCACCAACCTCAGAACTGGGCACGTATACCCCAGGGGATGCAGGACCCTAGAAGCACTTATTCATTCACCCACAGGTATTTGCAGCCTGTTGCAGGCACTGGGGGTGCAACAAGGTCAGACAAGCTCCTTCCCCCACGGAGCTCATGTTCTACGGGGAGGAGACAGACAAGGGAACATCTACATGTGATGTCAGGTACCTACAGGTGCCATGAAGGAAACAGAGCGGGGACAGGTCAGAAAGTGAAAACGGCGTCTTTAAGGACAGGTAAGAAAGTGGAGACACAGGGGTTGTGTCTTTAATATCAACAGGGGTCTGAGCAGTGCCTGTGAGCATTTCTGACCTCAGGAGCCAGGAGCCAGGCAGGCACCTGGGAGTTTTCAAACAGGAAATAAGGTTACAAGTGCTAAAGTATTGATAACCATGCTGCTGAACTTGACCACAGAAGATACACACACGCACACACACACACCCCAAGGTTGAGAGATGAAGAGACCTGCTCAGGACCCAAGGCCTCATCACTCCATCCCGATACAGAACTCCAAATCTTGATCAATTTCTCTCTTCCCTCCTAGCCTCACTCTTAACCTTCTGGAGCCTGCCCACCACTGCCCAGCTCACTATTGAATCAGTGCCGCCCAATGCTGCCGAAGGGAAGGATGTGCTTCTCCGTGTCCACAACCTGCCTGGGAATCTATTCGGCTTTGCCTGGTACAAAGGGGAAATAGTGGACACCAGCCGTCAAATCATATCATATGTAATAGACACTCAAACAAATACCTCTGGGCCTGCATACAGTGGTAGAGAGACAATATATCCCAATGGATCCCTCCTGTTCCAGAACCTCACCCTGAAGGACACAGGATACTACACCCTTAAAACCACAGGGAAAGATTTACAGGAGAAACAAGAAACTGGACAGCTCCGTGTATACCGTGAGTGATTTCTCTCTGACCTCTGGGTTCGGGTGGGTGAACTCCACTTCACACACAGGACTGACAGCCCGGGACTCTGCCTCCATCCCCCTCTGCATAACGTCCCAGGTTGGGTTTGGGCATTTAGTGCAGGACACACACAGTGGAGACAAACTTCTAAGATCAGAGTTCCCTTCCTGGATTCCAGCCCTGCAGACATTCTCCACAGAGAGAAGGGCCAGTCTGATGGGAGTGACTCAGCAGAGGGAGAACAGTCTTAGTCCAGACCCCTGGGCCCCTCCCATGACCATGATCCTGAGAAAGACCCTGCAGGGCTGGTCAGGGCATGGACTGATGGGCCCCCCAGTTTTCTCACAGAGCTCAGGAAATGGGGCAGCCCCTCCCCAGACTTTAGTCCCAGGGCTCCTGACTCCAGGGTCCCTGAGGAGC